ATATATATTTTTTAATAATATATAATCAATATCTATTTACTATAAATATACGATATCAAAAAATCCGTTTCAAAATAAAGAGGAGACAAAGGGACACAAAGAGGAATTATATGATCGATAGTCACAGCCGCAATTACACACGTAATCTGGTATACTGAAAAATCATATCAGATCGTCGTATATTTGTTATCATCACAATCTAACATATATATTTAATGACAGTTTTATTTGCAAAATCATTTTTTAGAGATTTCAAAATTATATAAAAAAATAATAAATAGATAAAGTAATGAAATGGAATTAGATTAAATAATAGCAATTTCATTTTACCTCTCTTAAACTTATCATAAAACGATCGTTCTTTTTAAGATTATTTTGCTACATTAAACTTTGTTATGTGACAAGGAAGAAGCAGCTGCAGTTTACATATTCCAATAATTTGTAGCAACAAACAAATATATGTTACTTGTCGCTACAAACACATATACTGTAACAATTTCATTGGAAAGAAGCTGGAAAGGCTTATCGAGGAAAAGCACGCAACATAACCATCAGACACAACAAATGGTTTATTCAGACATGATAAACTTTAGTAGAGTAGAGATTGTCATTTGAGTCAAGGGGCAAGTTCCGACTGGGATCGTATGATTCTCGATAAGAAGATTGACCAATGAATGAAGTGAACTGGTTTTCTTGAGACTCGACAAAGATTAATTATTATGTGATAAGAGCGTAATGAAATTAATAGAGTATTAAATTCTTTTAGATAGGATATTTCCTAGTAAATGTAATACTAAGAATATATATATCGTGTGAGATGACATTCGTGATTCAGACTCTTCTCTCACACATAATACAACTCGTTAAAATAATCAATTCGTTGGTTTGAATGCAGATTGAAGGATTCAGATTCTTCCTGAATATATAAATTCGATATATAATTCAATACATAATAGATTTCTGAAAATGTATGTTTATCCTAGGATTGAAATAAATTAATGCAATTATATGAATATAAATAAAAATTTACATTGTTGCATATATCGATTGATATATACACATGAAATGAAAATAAATAAATACGCACGTAAAGATAACAAAAAATAAATATACATGCGTGCATCAAAAAAATGAAACAGAATAGAGAAACCATTTAGCAAAGAGTTATAACGCCACGTTTTAGTTTATAGTATCATTCTTACACTATTTTATTGAATGTACAGCGGCAAGCCAATCAAATTGTAATACTATATCCATTATAGCGACAATTATGCAATATAATTGACCGCCTAATATATTAAGGAGCTATCCTAAATGTACCACATATGTGTGACTTGTATAATTGATATTATAATATTACTTAAAGCTAATGAAGAGTTTATGCGTACTAGAAACGAAAGAAAGGAGACGAATGTTCGTGAGAATGTGAGTGTAAATTTTTTTGGAACAATTCTCTGCGACTCTGGGCTCGCCAGCTCATATCAATCGTCGACTGCTATTCCCTCTGGGACGCAGATGAGAGCATTCTGTTACAAATGAGAAAAACATGTAGAAACAGAATAACCATCGCCCTGAGTATAACTTTTTTTTTTTTAATTAGAAAAGTCCTTATTTATTTAGAATCTCTTTTTCGTTCTCTTTTTCTTATTACGTTATAATACCCACATTTAACCATTCGTTCGAAGTCAATAGCCGTTTTGTTGTCTGTAGCTGCTCCCGCCGTATCCACTATTGTTTTGGCTATAGCTACTGGAGCCACCGCCAGAAGTTCCACTCCCGAAGCTGTTTTGAGGGAACGATTTACCGCTTCCATAGCTAGCCCCGCCCATGCCACCTATGTGAAGCGTACACGAGACGTTTACACAAGGACACAATAAATTTCACCAACCTACACTATCGAACGTCACAATATGGCGGCGATATGGAGAAGTAAGAGCCTTAAAAATAATAGGGAAATGGAAAAAAACAGAAGGGCTAAGAATATGGAGACTTGATTGCATCGGTACATTTACTGATTAAGAATATCGAGATAACATTTTTTTTCATTCAAGCAAATAAATTAAACAGGATCACACAATCAATTTCTTAAATTTTGAAAACCCACCGCTACTGCTTCCGGACCATTTGTTGCCGCGATCACTCGCGCCAGTACCGGAAGAGCGGTCGAATCTTCCACCTCTATCTCCTGTATCGCGACCTCCACGAGTACCTCGTGAACCACCACGGCCACCAGATCCTCGTCCACCTCCACCACCACCACCACCACTGCGTCCACCATATCGTCCTCCTAATCATCAAATAAAAAGAATTTCTTTTTACTTTTTCTTTTTTATTTGAGTAAAAATTTAAAATGTAAAGAGCATAAAAGTAGTTCTTTTTATGGAAAAACAATGGAATCGGTCAAATATACTCACTTTTATAAACGCCAGGATTTCTGGATAGCTCGTACAGTTTCGGATTGACAACTTGTTTGGCCTCTTCTAAAACTTGGATTAAGTCACCAGCCTTGTGCGCATTGCCGGGCGTGAAAAAGGCGTACGCGGTTCCTGTACGTTGAGAGCGACCCGTACGTCCAATACGGTGTACATAGTCCTCAGAGTTGGACGGATAGTCCAAGTTTATCACAAATTTGACATCTTCGACATCTGCGAGATATGTCAAATTATAATAACGATACACGGAAAACGCTTGTTCCTTTGTGGTTCAATTAACTTATAAAGCGAATAAATTCAAGCATTTTACCAGGACGCTGCCTTTGCTAATGGAATTAAAGAATCTGTTTTTAAAAAATAATAGACCGAATATTTGGACCTAAGTCTTGAAACAATTACAAAACATATAAAAACAACAAAATTCATCATCTGTCCATTGATCTCTCTTCTTTAACAATTCTGCTACATATTTGATATATTTGATACACAAAGGACGGACAAAAACATAAAGATTACCTCAGATAATAAATTAGCTTTAGTTCCATTTGCAATTTGCATATAACATTCAAGTTGACCACAAAGAGCAAGTCTGCATGTAATTACCTGTTTTCGATTAAAGCTGGAAATGTAAATACATTTTTTGGAAATGTAGAGGAATCAGAGCTCAGATGGTTCTCATTGGAATTCTCGCTTCACGTATTAGCGAGCTCTACATTTTTATTCTTAGTCAACATTACACCCTTCTCTCCCGCACCAAAGTATGGATCTGTGCTCGCTATTTCGAAATTTGGTCCTTGTACATTGCTTCGGTGAAGAGGTTGGAACATCAAGTGAGCACCTTGCGTTCTTCACTCAACCCCTACATGTACTCCCCCATCAAATTAGCATCAAGAATTGCGCGCCGCAATATATTGTGAAGATTCCCTCCTACTTCGGCATAATAATTATTATTAGTAATCGCTGTTGATATTCCACATTTACCTGCTCTAACTTTATAGAGTTTTTGACAATTCGAATTCGTGATATATGAAAGTTACAAGATATGCTATATTGTTTACGTTTATATCGTATTCTAACATTCCAAAGAATTTGCGAGATAAATCACGGTTATTGATAATTGTTTAGAATAATATCACAATTAATGCAGAGCGCGACTTGATGCAATTTACTATTTCGATTTAACGAATGTATAACCGATAATAATATCTATTCCTTTTCTTTTTCGTCCTCATGCTAAACGCCCTAACATTATGATTTCCATACTTTGGATCGTCGCAGGTACAGAGTGAGAGTGTTTTTCGAGTGGTAAAGGTGGCCGAGGCACAGCGTTTGCTTAGCATGTTGCGAGGGGGCGGCGACCAGCAGTCACGCCCCGTTCAATTACATATTCCAAAGCTAGTTGCAGAGTTCTAAAACTCCAGAGTCGCATGTGCCTCTGAAATCACATAGAACAGCACGTTAATACCAGACTGACAGGACTTGTTTCGATCTGAGAGTACAAAATCGGAAGAGATAAACCTGACTAATCGCTTACCTGATTCCCTTATCTTTAAGATTCCTTATCTTTAAAGCTGAAATATTTTGACGTTCTTTTTATATTATATCTATCTCTTTACCATTTAAGATTTTATTTAATGTTGTTGTTACCGTTCGTACGCATGAAAATATTAAAAGAACGTCAAAATCCGCCTATACGCTAATTTATAATAAAAGAAGTTAAGACTTAGAAAAGAAGTTAACAAAACGGTTAAAACTTATTCTTTTATTAATCTAATCGCTGAAAAGATAATGGCGATGTTAATTCGGTAACGCTACTGAGATTCTCGATTAATTAGTAGGCGAAAAGAAAGAATTAGCATAAAATTAACGAAACGGAAGATGTCAATGGCAAAATCAAATGGGGTATTTAACTAGTCTCGTTCCTGGAATTCCTTAAGAATAATTAAATTATCTCCAGCCACACTGGTAGGGGAATAATGTCAATCAGTCTGGCACATGCCGTTATCCGTTGCCACATTACAATACCACGAATTGCGAACAAATGCGGAATAACCATCGCAGCCTGACCCTTACATCATACCTATGTATCTGCAAATTCTTACCTAAACCTCTCGCCGCCACGTCGGTAGCCACTAGGATGGCAGACCTGCTATTCCGGAACTCTAAAACAACGTCTCTTGTATTATAAATAACATAAGTTTTGAAAAATAATTTGATCGAAGATAAAATAAGCAAACAGAACGGTATTGAATAAATTAATTATAAATTTCTTTTTTTTTCGACAAATAGAAAATTCATTGTATAATATTGAGACTTTAAACGTTACATTATTTGTAATTAGAATTTTCTGGTGTTTTACTTATTTAAATAAAGTTCATTTAAAATAACATCTAAGTAATATTTAAATAAAAATATCATTGACGTTTGCTTCTCACGTATTTAAAAAGCCATAGAAATAGCACTCACGGTTTAATACATAATCTCTTTCTTGTTGACTTTTGTCTCCGTGAATGCCAATTGCCTGCCATCCATATCTATTGATAGCTCTTGTTATATCATCTACCTTCCTCTTAGTTTCCACAAATATTATAGTCTTATTTTCTGGTTCATTTGAGATTTCTTCCAGCAATTTCATAAGTTTATTTTCCTTTTCGTATTCCTCACATACGTCCACAATTTGTAGAATATTATGATTAGCAGCCAATTGCAGGGAGCCAATATTGATCTGTATGTAGTCCGTTAGAAACTCCTCCGCGAGATTACGCACTTCCTTCGGCCACGTCGCTGACCACATGAGAGTTTGACGATCAGGTCGTATTTGTTCTACAATTTTCCTAATTTGCGGTTCAAAACCCATATCCAGCATTCTATCGGCTTCGTCGAGCACTAAGTATGTACATCTACGTAAATTCGTGGTACCGCGTTCTAAGAAGTCTATAAGACGTCCAGGCGTGGCAATACAGATCTCTACACCACGCTCGAGGTCACGTGCTTGCGGTCCTTTTGGAGCGCCACCAAAGATGCATGTATTTCGCACTTGCGAAGACATACCGAAGTCCGACGCCACTTGTTGAATTTGTTGCGCTAATTCTCGAGTGGGTGCCAAAATTAATGCAATCGGACCGTCATTCCGGCTCAATCTAGGCTGATGATTTATATGCACGATCGCAGGCAGAATATATGCTAGCGTTTTTCCTGAGCCCGTCTGTGCTATACCAACCATGTCGCGACCGGACAGAGCAATCGGCCAGCCCTGTGCCTGGATTGCAGTTGGCTCACCAAATCCCTGTCTACGGATCTCGTTAAGGACGTAATCTGGAAAACCGCCTTCCTCAAAATAAATATTGGGGCCTGGAACGTTAGTCCCCTTTACAGTGATTTCCTTATTGGAACGATATGCCTCCACAGTATGAACACTCCGTGCCATTACATTAGTATGCGGTTGATAAAAGTCCTTTCTAAATTGTGGTAGGGTGCTCATGTCCCATCGCGGCTTGCGCAGACGTTCTCCTGGCTGCCGGTTCTTAAAATTATTGTTCCCGAAATTGCTGTCTCTGTTGCTGCTGCTGAATCGATTACCTCCTCCTCCTCCATCGCGCCCACCGAATCTACCTCCTCCACCACGTGCTCCACCACCGCCTCCACCTCCTCCTCCTCGTCTATCAGAACGTTCGCGTTCACCATATGCCCTTTTTCAAATAAAAATAAATAAATCATTAAATTGTTGAAGTATAAGAAGAAAAATCTATATATAATTGATTTGTTTATATATATATATATATATATATATATATATAATAAAACAAATCAATTCCTTTTCATTGAAAATTATTATGAGTGTATTTACGAATGTACTGTTACAAATAGCAAATCAATCAATACAGGGACTTGTAGAACACATGTTTGTTTTTTTGTATTCAAACTTGTATGTATCCAAATGTGTACTTTTCACCTTTCCTTTTTTTTTCTTGATATCCAATTATGTGCCTATCTCATTTTAAACGCAAAACATATAACATAACGCTATGAAAAAGATATATATAAAATATTAGAAGACACATTCTATTATCCTAATATATTTTATGTAAACTTCTCCTGTATGCTGATTAGTTATAGAGAAGAAAGTTCTTGATATTCCAGAAATTTCCTCTTTAAGCAGCAGATTAAAAGAATTTACACATTAAATGAAATGGACTTATGTAATACAGTTTCCTAATTTTCTAACACTCTATAGCCAAGCATCGTTACAAATAACGATTAGCTCTTCAATCACGGTCCCGCGTTTTGCTGCTCTTGCTCTCTACTTATTTAATTGAATTTGGAAATTTTCGTGCGTTTCGAGATCCATCGAAAGCTTTTTTCATTTTTTCTTTTTTTTAGAATATATCACCGGCATAGCACATGTTTGAGATCTGGAGTGACTTGCAGGAGCATCCGAATCGCATGATTCTATTCAATGTGCATACATTTCTTGGATTGAAAATCTCTTTTCGAAAGCATTAATAATTTCTATTACGAATTTTTGCGAATCGCGAGCATGACAAAAGATTCCGATCGCAAAATGGCGAATGAGCACAAGCACATGGGCAGGTAGCGGAACTTCTCGATAAGTAAAATGGGTAAAAATATGGGCGAAATGCGTTTCACGTTATCTCACGTAGACTTACATTGCAGTGGTTGGGAATGTGTGATCCTATTTTCCGTGTAAACTCTTCAGTGACTATCGATATCAGTGATAATGTGAGTTGGGTGGCAAGAACACGTCCACCCGTGAATAGTCCAGCCAGCTGAAGGAACGAGAAACAGGATGTAAGCGTCATAGTGTCATGGCGGCCGACGAAAAGTAGTCCCTTCGCGAGTTGTGGAAGTGACTTATACTCGCGATCTGTATTATTGCACGTTGCTTTTTACAATGGAATTATCGCTGGATGCTAGAATTCAATGATGCTGATGTCGACGAGTGTCCTTTCGCTATTTGCAGTGACGAAAAACGAGAAATAAAGAAAAAAGAAGCATAAATGTTCTACGCCGGAAGTGCAAGTTAGGCAGAGATGATATACAACGCCATCAAGGCTTGAGCTGTGAAACTAAATATTGAAAAATTGCGCAAAAATTTGAAATTCTGAATCTTCACGTTCGCATTACTGCTAATAAATACATAACCAACATTTTTTTATAAACAACAAAAGTCACTAAAATAAAAACTAAAATATTTAAGAAGGTTGCAGATCCTTTTTTTATAAAATTTTAGCAAGCGCAAAAATCACGTATATTGCTATTGCAAAACTGTTGCAAAAATATTTTGTAATGTTTATGAGATAATCACGTTAAATGAAACGCATTTCTGAGATATCGCTGAAATTGTTTCTATGTAATTTCCTTGCCGCAAAGACACATCTTGTACCAATAAATGATATGCAAAGAACAATATATTTTAATTAGTAGTCAGTAAGTAAGTCAGTAGTAAAGTAATTTTGTTTATATTTATATAAAGAGCTTAAATTTTTCATATGAAAAACGGATCGTCTTAACGGCAATCTTGCAATTGTTTTCACTTTTACTGTGAAAGATTTCAGAAACATTTCCATTGTAACATTTCATATTTCAGAATTTCTTTCTGAATTATGAAATGTGAAAAATAATTGAATAATTGAAATAATTTTAAAACGTTTCTGAAAATCTTTTTTTGCAACAGTTAATGCTGTATGAGTAATATGAAAATTATAACAATACAATATTTTTTTATTTTGATTAGCCTTTCTTTATAGATTATGAATTTTATAACTGCAAATTTGTTTAAATAGATTCTTAAAGTTATTGTAATAACATGTTTTCTTGTTAGAATTCTTGTTGTTGAATATGCTGATAATATTACGGAAGGATTTGGCTGCTCTTCCAAGAAAGCGAAAGTTAACTTTATTAATTCTGTAACATAGACTCACAACAGATGACACATATCAATATTTTTGTTTCTAAGAAATTTCAGTAATCGTCACAGTAAGAATCACAGATAATAATAAAAAAATAATTATTGGTTAATATCACACAAATAATTAAAGACAATCGACCAGTTATCCAGTCAATATCTAATAACGAATTCGATTGTATGTATTAACACTGATATAAATTATATAAAGTCTGTTATATCCAAATGTTAAAATATAATGAAAGCAGTTTGCTTATTAAAACATTCAATATATATTTTATCAAACAATTTATGTTAATTATTATACTGATCAGCTATAATTAATTACATGTATTATGTATGATCTTCATTTAGACAGATGTTTATATCAGTATTTATTTGTACATTCAATCGAATTCAATATAAGGTTACATATTTGCAAAGAATCAATCTTTTCACAATCTCATTAAAAGATAAATAATACACTAATATTCGTATATAGTCTATCAATTGCACTTTCTTTCCACAGATTCATTGACAAATTTGTATCATATTTCCTTAATTATAACTTAACAAAAGATACAAGATACTGTCATTTATCATCATAATTTTAAATACACTTTTTTAAAAGTTCAATATTTTACATAAAATAAAATGACAATGAATTAATATTATTAAGATATATAAATTAAATGATTAATAATTTGTAATATAATTTTGATTCATGACAAAAATATAATTCGAAGATTGTTAAATAAAAAGAAAATGATAATAATATAATAGAAACTCAACAGTATTAAAAAAGTTTTAGAGTTATTATATAAAATATCTTTGGTCTGAATATTGCATACAAATGTGACGCAAAAATATCTCCAACTATAACTCCCTCTTTTCAAATCCTTTCTTATGACAGAAAGATTATTTATCTACTAATATCAATATAATACGCTATAAATGAAACTGATTGCATAATCAACACAATATATATTATTTACGGTTTAATTCTATAACATTTCATAAAATTTATAAATAAAATACTTAGCTACCGTAAATAGATAGAAAATTTTAAATTGCTTAAAGAAAAAAAAATTGAACTTTTGAGTGATTGCACCTTAATTACATAAGAATTTACATTCTTCCACTTTTGTTAAATACTGACTAATATTTTTTAAACAATAACTTGCAAAATTAGAGTTGCAATTGCATGAAAATTGTATCGAAATTATTCACTGTATTAAATTTGACAAATGGACAAATATTACATTAAATGAACTTATAATTGTTGATTTGCAAATATTAGTCAACCTTCATTTGATAATATAATATAATATATATTATCACATTAGTATTTTTTTTTATTATGCTGCAACTTATTATTTCTGCGATATTCGTTTTCTATATATGTCTTTTTCTTTACCTGTAATTTTAATGAGATTTTAATGAGATCTGCATTCTGTCAAATCTCACTATAACTAAACGTGACACATTTTACATTATTAAATCATTACGTGCTATCAATCATAAAAACGAAATTAATAAGTTGTGCTTCTGTATGGATAACCACTTCCATAGTTATCGCCACCTCCATAATTTTGAGGCATACTTCCCTGTCCATAGCTTCTCTGCGTACTATATCCATATGTCGTGTTTTGGCTTAAAGACGTATTCTGTTTCATATTACTATAAGTGCTGTAATCTGATCCCGAATAAACATTCGAAGAAGACTGATAAGAATTTCCACTGCGAGAAGGACCTCTTCCTCTTATTGAACCGCCGCCTCTTCCTCTTCCATCATTATTGCTTCTTCGGCCATTACCTCGTTCAGTGTTACCGCCAGAATTGCCAAAACGTTTTCCACCTTATCATAATATAAATGATATAATTAACCGAATAATTGGTAATTTATGAGCATTATAATTAAATGCTCGTAAAATGAATTTTTCTACTATCTTGCTATTCACATTTGCCATATTAGAGTGAGTACTCATGGATCATTAGAATAAAAATGTAGACGAATTTGTAATATGGATATTCGCGAAAATTCATAAAAACATACTTCGATTGCTGAAGTTTCCTGCTTTGGCCATCTCCGCCATTTCACTAAGACGCGGATTGACATTTTGTCCAGCCTCTCGTAAAACCTCTATTAAATCTCCGGCATGCTTCATATTGTGACTCGTGAAAAACGCATATGCTGTTCCGGTCTGTCGTCTACGTCCAGTTCGACCGATTCTATGTATATAGTCCTCCGACGAAGATGGATAATCAAAATTTATTACGTATTTCACATCATCCACATCTGTAAAATAAATAATGGTTACAAAATCTTAAAAAATTTTTTAAATTATAATCTTTTTTGGAATAAAAATAAATTGGTACTCTTTATTCCAATTAAATATATTATTAGTGCACTTGAATATAAAAATTTATCAATGTTGTTAACATATCGTTAGATGTTAATAAAATTATTTAAAGGAAAGATAAATTTAAATAAAGAAAAAATATTTATAATAATAATATATTAAGTAATTAAATATATATCAGATTTAAAGTTCAGTACTGAGTTTGCCAAGAATTTATTGATACTTCACTCAATAAAACAGATTTAGATACCCACCTTTCATTTGAAAATTCCGATGTGAAATCAGCAAGAACGACCCCGTTTGTTTTTAAAGTGGGGCAATTCTGGTTGCTTTCTTATGGTAATATACTGGCAGCCTAGAGATTAGACAGACACAGCGGTTGTGTCTGGTTTGGGATAGAGGCAGCAATTTAGGGTTTAAGCCTGAATGCATTAGTTTTGATAGGTATTGCATGATAATTTCTTAGTTAGAATTAGAGGCACTAGATAACAAATTCAGCTATTACACTTTTTGAGTTTTCATATTATGAAAATTGTAAATATATATCATTATTTTACTATATAAAATCTTAGTTAAAAAAAAATCTATGTAATTACTATAATATTTAAATATATAATATATATTTGTTACATGTTTATGTTCATTTAATCATTTAACACATTGATTATTGATTAATGTATTTGTCAATCATTACAAAGTTATTTTTTTATTTCGTAATAATGAGACAATTAAAAGAAGTTAAATTGTATATGAATCTAACTTTCCACTCGGAAATTGTTACAATATATAAAGAAAAATAAAATAGTCACTGTGTCTGCCCAATACTGGCAGTACACTGCGCTGAGTTAGGGTACTCTGTGCCTCTGAAAAAGAAAAGCAGACAGACTTAGTGGTAGCTTGTGTGCATTTTTAGAACCTTGCTCTTATATATATCATGAAAATCAATATAACTCTTCATTTGAACATTAATTAATTAATTAAAGTTAATTATATATCAGTAGTCAATACAATTATAAGTTAAACATCAAAAACATTACTGTTTCTTAGATATTTACATAAATAAATTTACAAAAAGCAACAAAATCAATAAAATTATTGAAAACGGTTCAACATATATGTAAATAAAAAATTACACGCAAGAACATAAACTATATGAGGGAATATATGTTGATTTTACGTGGCTTTACAATGCAACTGACGAATATGATATAAAGTTCCAATGCATCACACACTGCTACACAGCTGTCGGCTGACCTTGCTCTAACAACGCATCATCTGGCTAATCCAACAAATGTTGCCAATATCCAGTTTAACCGTGACTTTCTTAATGTCTCGCCTACATAGCCAAATAAAGTTTTACGTACCCAAGCCTCTAGCGGCTACATCAGTTGCGACTAAAATTGGTGCTTTTCCACTGCGAAACTCTTGCAACACATGATCTCTTTCCTGTTGATTTTTGTCACCGTGAATACTCACGGCTTGCCACCCTTCACGCCTAATATTTTTCGTGATATCGTCCACTTTACGTTTGGTTTCCACAAATATGATAGTTTTGTTCTCCTTTTCAGTACCGATCTCTTGAAGTAATCTGTACAACTTTGAATCTTTCTCATATTCGTGACAAACATCGATGATCTGAGTAATATTGTGATTGGCGGACAGTGTCAGAGAACCGATATTAAGATGAACATAATCCGTCAAAAAATCTTCCGCGAGTGCGCGAACTTCTTTAGGCCACGTTGCCGACCACATTAGCACTTGTCTATCAGGACGTATCTGCTCAATTATTTTTCGTATCTGTGGTTCAAATCCCATATCTAACATTCGATCGGCTTCATCAAGTACTAAATACGTACACCTAATATAAAAAATAATTTAAATAATATTAATTATAAATTTACATAATCTCAAATATATAGATAATTCCTACTAGTAGTTAAGTTTTAGAGAATGATACATACCTACATAAGTTTGTAGTTCCTTTTTCTAAGAAATCTATAAGTCTACCTGGCGTGGCGATACATATTTCAATGCCTCTCTCCAAATCGTGCGCTTGTGGTCCTTTCGGAGCACCACCGAAGATACATGTGTTTCTTACAGCCGCAGTCTCCCCGAAACTGTTGGCTACTTCTTGAATCTGTTGAGCTAATTCTCTGGTTGGAGCTAAGATCAAGGCAATTGGACCATCACCAAGGCTTAGACGTGGTTGATGTATAATATGCACAATTGCAGGTAAAATGTACTGGGGAAAAAAGAAAATAATCTCTGATCGTCTAACATAAAATATATCTTCAAAATATGTCCAATATATTTTTGATATTTTATTTAAATTACATAAAATGTGTATTATAAAATACTCATAAATAAATGGATAAAAATGCATTCTAAAGTTCATATTTGTTAAACATAAATTTTGCTTACTCCAAGTGTCTTCCCAGAGCCAGTTTGAGCGATTGCAACAAGATCTCTGCCACTAAGAGCAATAGGCCATCCTTGGGCTTGAATTGGAGTAGGCTGTGAGTATCCTTCTCTACGAATACCTTCCATTACATAAGGTGGAAAGTTTCCCTCCTCGAAATACTGTATAGGATTAGGAACATTTTCACCCTTCACAGTTATTTCCGCGTTTTCTCGAAATTGGTTCACCTCTTCATTAGATCTATCACAAGATTGAATTTGTGAATATTTTGTTTTTAGCTAATCTAATGTCTGTAATTAATACCTGTTCCTAACTGCAGGATGCTCTATATAAAAATCTTTACGTAATGGTTCCAAAGTACGAAGGTCCCAATTTACTTTCTTTAGGCCACCACCGGGTTGCTTCCCTTTTAATCCACCTCGTATATTATTGATACTTCCTCTACTAGGTGTGCCAAATCTGCTGACACCACGTCCACTATCAGTATCACTCCTGATGGTATTTGTTCCTATTTTGGCAATACCGCCACGGCGGCCTCTGCCTTGATCTCGATCACGGCTAAACCTATTTATTTATTTAGCGCATATTTTAGATATATACAGATTTTTGCAAAAATATAATATTTTTTTATCTACAAACTTTTTTGACAAAAATTCTAAACTTGCTCTTAATAAAAATTTTACTTAAAAGCAGAGAATTACTTTAAGAGAATTACTTTTGAAAAGTAATTTGTTATTCATTATTGAAAATAATATTGGTAACTATAATATTGGTTACCTATTGAAAAAAGTAATTCATTATCATTGTTTGTTTCTCAAAAATAGGCTGTTGTAATTTCTATTACTTTTTCCTCAAATTTTAAAGATTTTTGGTTTTTGGGACGATTTTAAAGACTTGCATTCTTTTCATTTTTTATTCTATATATATGCATGAAATATAATAATTGTACATGTACAAAATAATTATATTTGTTACCATTATCCAAAAAATATATATCTGCATGACTATCATCATTATTATAAAAATATAACATTGTTATCAATTCGTTATTATTAAAAAAAAAGACTAAACATAACAATGTTAATGTAAATAAATAATGCTTTTTAACTGTAATCAAATGTATCTATATCAAGATGCCGTGAAAAATAATAAAACACTTGCAATAAACATAATAATTTAATTTTTGTTCTATTTTAATATAAAAAACATTCCTCTGAAGGAAGACCTGGAAATTCAATTATCATATACTAAGAACTGAAAAATAAATTTTCCGTCTGAATTAAATATTTAAATCAAAAATTTTTGTATTTCTCTCTGCATTATTGGTATTTTATTTATCAAACGAAATCCTTTGTTAAAGGATGTATAAGGTATAAAAAAACAATTTCCTCTTTTTTTTTCTCTAAAATATATGCAGGAAACAGTATTTGCAAAATATTTGCAGCGTGTCATCGACCTTTGTTGCGAAAATGAGATAGAAATAAAAGCGAAAATGATAAAAATTTATTGTAGATTGATTCGATCGTGTCGCAACGAACACAAATAAGAAATCAATTTTCGCGAGGATCAATATCAACGTCCAATTATCGATTGATGTCCGCAAAGCAAGGCGGAACTATCCCGTCGCATAGAATTTACTTCCATGCAAAGAACCGCGCAGACATTTCGTATGTGCTGGTCAACGATTCGTCGTCAGACGTAACCGATTCGCACCCCGCGCGACGCTGTCATCGCGTACTTACATCGGGAAACCCGGGGTGTTCCTGTCCCGTGGACGACGGACGGCTTATAAACGAAGGGCCGATCGACGTCGGCTCGCGGCGTCGACGGGCGACAGCGGGCGCGAAATCGCTCGGCTGGATTCCTGGGCACCACCCTCGCGCGACACACGGCGATTCCACGGAGCTCGGCCGAAATCGCGCGGGAATCGCACCACGGATCAGCAGCGGCGCCGTTAGAAAATCGTGTCGCCCGCCACCGGCGAGTCTGACCACCACCGACACGGGATTAACGGGAGGAACTTCCGCAAGTAGTTCCGCGTTCCGGTCGTTTCCATGGCGACCGCGGAGGGATACACAAGGGATTACGAGATCCTTTCCTCACTCCCCCCTAACCCCTGTCGTCTACTGGACGCCCGAGATCCATACTACACGATGATCACGATGATCCACGACGATCCACGACGATCCCCGAAGAATTTGTGAAGAAGGGAAGGGGTGGAAGGAGGGAAAAAATGGCGGCGCCCGTGCCGGCGGATTCGTTACGCGACGTAGAGAGCAGAGAGCAGAGATTCGATATCAGAATTGAAAAGAGAACCATGCCGTGTCGTGCGACGAGTGTTCTTGAAATAAAATAAAAGTAGAAAGAGAGAGAAGAACGTCAGATTGTATTGCGCTTTGACTCACTTCAATCAAATTGCGCTTCTGTGAAGAGAGTGATTAAACAGAAATTCACGATTTGAGGTAAAATAAAATATTTCATACACAAAACGTATATTTAAATTTGAGTCGGGTTCAATTTATGATTTGAAAAGGCAATATTCACGTGTGCTCGGAGGTCATCTCTCTAATTCTCGAGTGTCAAATACTCGCAATTGAATACGAGATCACGAGAAGATTGGCGCGCAATAAATAACAATTGGATAATGTAATCGGTAATTTTAATACAATCAAAAGTATATATATATATATATATATATATATATATATATATACACATCATACTTGTTTTTTTATAGTCGCATTGTTATATTAAAATAAATAAAATAATATAACAAGTTCAACTGCAAAAACAAAGTAATAAAAATCGATTAATTATCGTGAACTTAATTTTCAAATACAATTATTTCGAAAAAAATCTATCTTGTAAAAAAGAAGTTTACGTTTAATTACTAACGATTCTTTTGACTCTTGGCTTAAGAATTCGCGCCTTCGGAGTCCACCATCGTATTTACACCTGTCATGGTTTATTTTTTTTCTGCTAGCTCAAGGCAATATTCGAGGAGTCTTATCGCGACGAGCATGCCTTTGTGATTACATCACATGCCTGGAGCTTTGACAATTTACGTTTCGCTTCAGACAGCATCGTCAAGATCTTCGTTTCCTTGTTGAATACGATCCAGGACGAATCCGATTACGACCGGTGCCATGAATGGAGGAAAGATGATAAGGTTATCTAAGCGTAGGTTCCTCTATGTGTGTAATTATTTATCGCAGTAACGACATTCTTGGCAATCTCGTAACGAGATACGTACAGACAAATAAGAGCGAGTCGGAAGACGGCAGACTACCTTGGTCTCATTTCTTTTCACCATGACGGAACACGAGCAGAATGCAATGTTTGTGCGGGTTACATCGGCGTTTTTTTACGGGCTATCATCGTTCATGATAACAGTTATCAATAAAACCGTGCTCACGTCATATGGTTTCCCATCATTCCAAGTATTGGGAATTGGCCAGATGATTGCAACGATACTGGTGCTTTTCATTGCCAAAAGGTTGCGTTATGTTGAGTATCCTAATCTGGAAGTGACGACCTTCACCAAGATATGGCCATTGCCATTGATTTACATCGGCAACATGATATTTGGATTGGGTGGTACTAAACAGCTGAGCTTACCAATGTTCACTGCCCTGAGACGATTCAGTATCCTTATGACGATGATTGCTGAATACTATATCCTTGGCATCAAGGCACGCATGTCTATACAATTAAGTGTTTATACTATGATCCTGGGTGCAGTGGTGGCCGCGCTGAATGATCTCGCCTTCAATCTCGAAGGCTACATCTTTATTTTGTTAAACGATTTTTTCACCGCCGCCAATGGCGTATATATGAAGAAAAAATTAGATTCTAAGGAATTAGGAAAGTACGGACTGATGTATTATAATTCTTTGTTTATGCTCAGTCCAACCGTCTTATTAGCTTGGTGGATGGGCGACATAGTCTTAGCAGTAGAATTTCCCAACTGGATGGATCCGCTATTCATTTTACAATTTATATTGTCATGCATAATGGGCTTTATATTATTGTACAGCATGCTCCTCTGTACACTGTATAACTCTGCACTGACGACTACCATAATCGGATGCCTAAAAAATATATGCGTGACATATCTCGGCATGGTGATCGGCGGAGACTATATATTTTCATGGTTGAATTTTGTAGGATTGAATTTAAGCGTGATAGGTAGTTTAGTATATACTTGGGTAACGTTCCGTAAAAGAGAGACTCTGCAGCCAAAGTACACTTTGTTGACTGAATCTCAGGCCAGTAAGATACAAGCTGTATGATTGTAAGTTTTTACGCTATAGCAACTTGAGCGTGATGTATCTCATAATATAACACATAATATAAAACTTTTGTACAAAGAAGTTTTGTAACTTCAGGAAATATGTAACAGCTAATGATCATTGTTTAGATATAAGACGAATCAATTATGTTTCTTTGTGCTAGATCATCGCAGAGTGTAATGTATATATGACCAATTATTATTAGCTGTTGTGAATGTTTCTGTTCCTCATATTACAAAGTGCTTTTTAACTTGTCAAGTTAGGAAGCGACGTGAAGTATATAAAATCGATAACCTGACTGTAATATCTACCAAAGTAAAATTATTGTGTTACCATATAAATATTAGGCTAATTAGGAAAGCATTCAGGTCAATTAAAATGTAACGTCGCCATACAAAATTAGGTGTAATTTAAATATTAATCTGTACATATATAACGAATACTTTAATGAAAATAAAATTTATTTATTGACGGACAACACACAGTTTCAAATCTTATTTTCCTCGCTCGGTTTCAGGATATTTTGCGACTGCCTCCGAGGCATTCCTGAGGGATTATGCCAAGCACCATGTATCCCTATCCCCCCTGCAACGTGTGCTTCTTACGATGGGCTCGGCGGCTATATCGTTGGCAAATCCGTTTCGAGGTGACATGATAGCATGTCTCGGGGAAACCACCGGTACAAATGCCCTTATGCATTGTCATCGAAAGATGAAGGAAACAAACGAGGGTCAACGTATACTTGCGCAAAAGCCACGTGTAAACACATCCACCATTGATCTTTCTTATCTCAAAGATCTACCACCGGGAACTGTGGGCAGAACGTATTGCGATTTTTTGGATGACAATGTAAGATATTCATCTTATCACCTGAAGAATAATGAAATAAAAAAATTAACGTTTTTCTAAGTGAATTATGCTATTGCAGAATGTATCACCTGATGATAGACTTGCGGTGCAATTCGTTGACGATACTGAGCTGGCCTATGTAATGCAACGATATCGAGAGGTGCATGATATTTTTCACGCTATGGTTCTAATGCCAACGACAATGCTAGGAGAGGTATCAGTTAAATGGATAGAGGCTTTGCAAACGCGTTTGCCAATGTGTATAACTGGTGCGATATTTGGAGCTAATCGACTGCGTCCTAGGTAAATTTGTGAACTGTTTTATACAATAGTTTGTGGTTATCATTAGTGCATCATAATTATTATGGATGTTTTTCAATAAGAGATACAAATTGAAACAAGTCTGTCATTTGTCTTTGTTTAACATTCAATAAATAAGAATGATATAATCAGACTTATGTCGACTTGTGTCACTGAAAAGCATCCTATGTATGTTATATAATATTTCAGACAAAGGCGACTGTATTTAGATCATTATCTCCTCTGGTCCATAAATACTGGGTTGAATGCCAAATTCTTGCTAGGAGTATATTTTGAAGAGCGTTGGGAACAACCTCTCGAGGATTTTCACAAAGAAATGAATATCATACGTCTTGTATAAAACCGTAAGCAATCAAAAATAGAATTATAACAATTGTTAATAAAGTTAAAAATAATTATTATCTAGTTGTTAATAATTAGATAAAATATTAGATAATTAGATAAAAAATAAAATTTTATCCTTGAAATTAATTCGTTGAAACCTTCGATATTAAATAATTCTTTAGAAAATCTAATGAAAATCTTAATCTTTACACATATACATGCAGAGATGTCGGATAATTCAGATTTATGTTTTTTCAAAGCAATACGCATTGTTGATATTACAAATTTGATTTAATTAAATGTTACATCTGTTATAAACATATATAATCTAAAAATTGTACGTTTACCATAATCGTTATTATCATCGTTGTTGTTCCAATAATCGTAATTGTGAAGAATCACAAGTAATTGTGATTCTCATCTTTTGTTCTTTTGCTCCTTTTTTCATTGTTTCCTTAGGTAATGTTATTATGCACGGGGGGGTGTATCTTAAAATGAAAACATGTTTTTTTCGAGATTTCCATTTAAATAAAATATTCGTATAAAATCATATCCTGAAAATATATTCATTCTGAGTTATAATTATTTGGCACAAAAATGAGATTTAAAAACATGCCTATTTTTAAATCGGAAAAATTGATGCAATAATATAATCCGTAAACATTCTCGTTCCAAATACATCCCGTGAATTGTGTATTATGTATTTCCGAATAAAATTGGAAATGACTTAGCTTAAGATATATATATATATATATATAAGAAAGGATATATATGTGAAGATTATTCCTATTTAAAAAATCTTGCGCCATTGCGAAATTTGATTAAAGATTAAACGATCCGCCCTCTTCCTAAAATGGATAAGCTGAATCGATCAATACGAGTATATTATGATATTTCGTAAAATAAATACATATAAATAGGTGAGCAAAACTGATTGTCATTCTTCGACGTAATTGAGTATTACGCTCGCTTATGCCGATTTTACTTATATTATTTTGCTTCGGCTATATGCAACGAATTCTGAGGATGATATAAAGTATCCAGCCGACAAAAGCTTTGCACATAATCTGCAACAAACTCGAGCAGTATTGTGATAAATTTCGCTGCAAAGCTGTTTATGTCGTCATTTTACCGCGATTGGCTGTCTGGACAATAGATATAGAAGAAATGGAACGACATTTTTTAACAGTAAAAACGATAACGAGTATCACATATATATATGTAAGCGTAGGAAAGATATGTAAAGTAATAAATTAGTAAATAGATGTGAATCTCTTATTCGTTCGCGAAATCGCGAAATCGTATTTCTCGCGAATACTGATTGTTACGGAAATAATCATTGAAAGATTATCAGAGATTATTTCTTGACATACGCGTAGAATATCATACGAGAAACCTGCGATTATTCGCCGCATTTTATCATTACGTTATTAGCTCCTATACTTATATAATCAAAATTAGATAAATCTAGTTGAGCAGTAATTTTAGTGGCCAGAGAGCATCCCACATTGTATTTAGGCATTCATGACTCCTCCGATTCGTTTTAATTCGCAATTAGAGTCATCTGCGAAAGCGATCAAGAAAGAAATCAGGATGCTTCTTAGCTGATTGTAATCGATTTGGTCCGCGCCGCTGTTGTTGCTGCTGCTGTTGCTGTTGCTGTTATTGGAGCATGAGTAGTTCTTTCTTTGTGCTCTTTCGGCAGAAATGCATTTGCATTTGTGCACACTTAATCCAGAGTTAATCCAGTTAGCTTCTTGAGGTAGCAATAAATTTCCTGGAAACTGGATCGATCTTCCGCACGTTTACACCAACATCGCAACATCAACCGATATAGATCGTCTGTGCAGAACACCGGCTGCTCGAGGATCCGCGGACATTTCTTCTTACCGCCGTTGTCCAATGAGTACCATAGGCCACAATTTTCCAATACTTGTTCGGAAGTCAAGTCGGCATACGGTATGTCTTCGCAGCGCATCAACACTTCCCAAACCGTCACGCCGTACGACCAGACATCGGCTTGACAACTTCGTTTTCCCTAAACGTAAACGCAAAATATTCTCAGTTTGATCTAAATCTTACAAAATTTTCGGATGTATCAATCAAATGTCAGTTTTAAGCGGAGATTTTATCCTCCTTTTTCAAAATAATCTTTTAAATTATATTATGTTAAATAGAAATTCTTTTCTTTCTTAAAATTTACATAATGAGGAGTTTTCTTCTTTGAAATTTACAAAAAGAATTACCGATAGAACAGCTTCCCATGCCATCCAACGCAGTGGTATCTTCCCATAACACTCGTCAACGTAATATTCGCCATCATATTTACTACAATACATGGCCTGATCGGATACTTTAATCAGCAAATCTTTACATACAATGCAATTCCTATAAAATATATTGTCACACATATAAAACATATATACGTGATATTATGACGAAATATACAACATGTGTGAATGTATTACCTGGCAGCTAGATCGCAATGCGGTACGTTTAAAGTCTCAAGATATTTCATACCCGAAGCAATTTGTGTCATCAGATTCAACGAACACTCATAACTGCAGAATCCATTATCACATGAGAAATTTATAAAAAAAAAATAGATGAAAATCTTCAATTGAATTATGCGCAGTCTTACCTTATCGGCGCGTCACGATCACGATTTTTTAGAAAACTCGACAGGTCCCCATGTTCTCCATATTCGAAAATGGCACTAAAAGGTTCCTCCTCAACAATCGCAATTATCCTGGCGATATTGATGTCACGTATTTCAGCCAAAATATGCATATCGCTCATAAAATCCTCCCTAAATCAGTATGTTTCCATGAAAATTAAGATTTTATAGAAGGTCATTAAACAAAATTTTTAATTCTTTTACCTTAAAGAATCAACCACACCGCGCCATAAGGACCGAACTATAACTACTTGACGATTTTGAAGAATGCCTAGATCTGGATTTTGTATACCTTTTGCTTCGCATAGATGAACCTAAATATTTATATTTTCACATTAATAATTTTCAAAAAAATATTGTAGACATCTAAAAAAACTTCTGAGAGAAAGAATGTCTTTATATCATTCATATCTTCATATCTAAAAAAATTCATGTATATAACTCACCAAACCGAAGTTTCCTTCGCCAAGTTTATCGAGGATTCTTAATCTATGTCGAGATATGCGTGGGACATCGTAAGTCCCACATTTGTACGATACAACCGAATCCCGAATAAGCAGCGGCGTGAAAAGACTAACAACGGATTGTTGATCACGTCTCTTGATCTACAACATACCATAATACTGTAACGAGTATTGCATTAACAATTTCAAAATCATTTAAATTATCATTACGTTTGTGAACGTTGCGAGTCTTCTTACCGTCAAGATATCCGTGGCTGCGTAATAGCTTTCATATACTCTCTGATTGATTTTTCCCGTTTGCGAATGGCTCAATTTTGTTGACATTGTTGGAATTATGCATTCCACTTGCGCTTCATCAGTAAAATTTTCACTGGTTTTAGTATCTAAAATATACAAAATCGATAATAATAGAAAATAATTGAGGCATACGTAAGAGATATTTAATTGAATACGAGTATTATTTAACAAATAATAATATGGTGCTTGTTATTACAAGTCTATAAATAATTTCGTTAATTTTACTAATTAATATGCATTTCTATTATGGAATATGAAATTAACCATGACTAAATTAAAATCAATTAGGAAAGGCAGAGGAAAATTGGGGCAAATGTAAATTATTAAGTACGAATAGAACGGAAAGACGCAAATCAAATAAATTATTATATTCCGATAATTATAGGATAATCATTACGCTTGTGTTTGTATAGAGATATCATACAACGATATGTTATGTATTTAATACAAAATAAAACAAAGCTTTTTTACCGTCAGGTTGGACACGATCGATATTAGAGCTAATTATTAATGATACCAATGATCATTAATGATCATTAATATGCGATTTTGTACGTACCAAAATATTCCGTTTTATAATTGGATCTCGCTTCACATTTGACATATTGTTCCGGGGATATTTTATTAATCTTCTCGTAAATGCTATGCTGCTCGCTCGTATCGCCGAATTTGTAATCGTTGTTCGAGGCAATTTTGCTTTTCAACGACAACCGAGATTGCGACAGATTGTTTACCACGATCGGCGCGGGTAATTTGATATCCTTCGTATTGATCGTGATACCCGGTGCCGGCGAGCCGCATAATAACGCGGTGTGTTTTTGTAACAGAGCTACTTTGTTGCGACCCCTCTGCTTTACTAGAAAAATCGTGCAACTCGAGAAAAAGACGATTACTGTCAACGCAGCACTGATCAGCCCGATATACGTTGGCGAATTATTCACAGGAAATGCATCTGGCGTCAAATTCGATTCATTTAATATCGATGTTGTCTCATTTGAGTCAGTTTTCGGTTTTCCCGTCATTGGACGTCCATGCTGAATGTTAATCTTTTTTTCATCGTCAGTTTCTCTGATTTTGTCAGTTTGAATTTCTAAATCGCTAGTCTCGTCTTTAGTTTCTTTTTCTTCGATTTGTTTTATTTTCGCGATCTGATCCTGACTAATGGTTTTGGAAATGTTTTCATTAATATTTTTATATATCCATGACAATCGTGTCAATGCTCCGTCAGTGTCATTTTTTACATCTGGAACTAATTTACAAGACGATGTATCTCGTGTAAATGTGGTTTGTATGTAATAATAAAATCAATTACCTGTTTGAAATATGATCTCGCTTAGTAGTAACCATTTTGATTGAGATTTTATTTCCATTTTGACAAATTTGCCGATTCTTGATTGTAACGGAATAGATATCAAGGCGCTGTTTTTACTTCTACCTTTTTCATTGCTGCTGCTAAGAATGATGTTTGCTTTAGGACCATTAAACATTTGAAAAGTTTCCGGGGTTTTATGATAATCCTTGCCATCCGATGAAAACCAGAAGTTTACCATTGCAAATGTCTAAAAATTGCTAAAGTCAGAATAATTGTGCCATTATTTACGAGAATTTGTTTCAAGTAAGGTAATCGTAAACCTCAACACTTAGATCAGGCAGATTGGCCACATGGATCGTACAATTCCTAAATTTCCGAGAAGTTTGGAACTCAAAGAATATTTCTACATTATCCCGATCGTGCCATCCGACCCAATTGGTTACTCTATTGGATTCTAGAATTTCAGATTCGCTACCGATTATACTATCGGTTAATTGCCCCAATCCATTTAACATTAAATTATCAATTTCCATCCCATCATATGACGTATCCTCGACATTACACCCGTTAGGTCCATCTTTATCAGCTTTAGGCGCAGTATAACTAGTAATATCTTCTGCATAAACAATAAAGAATATTCTCATTACATCTGTATTGCTTCATTTTTTTTTATTTTAACTCATCCATCCATTTTCAAATCTCTTAAATATATCTCTAGATATTATACTTTTAATTTATTACATTATCTTTAAATCTTAAAACATTGCTGATTGTACATTTTTATGTATAAAAATATGGATTATAAAATTTCGAGAATGATAATACTTTCATATATAACAAAATACTTTCATATAACTATAATAAATATAAGTTAAATAACATGTGGAAAATACTTACGATTCCAGATGCAGCCATAAATCTCAACGCGCATACACACGGTGCGAGGATGCTGACTATAAGGAACAAATCTCACTCGACTCGCGATGAATGGTAAATCTAACTTTTGTTTCTCAACTAGATATGTATTGCTATTACCACGCAGGACCTGTGATACGAAAATAATACAATTCAGTTTCTTATCTTTGGTAAGTTTAAAAACATTTTTTTTACGAATGTGATGAGAAATTAATTACAATCAAAATTATCAAAATTATATTCTATATTTTTAAAATTAAAAGAAAATTAGATTTTGATTAATCTTTTCTAAAAGTGAAGAAGCAGTATAATTTGATTTATAAAATCTTTAACTATAAGTTTTCTCTATCTTTATAAATTAAATTTTAATTGTTAAATTGTTTTAAATTAATCACCGATAGTCAAGCATACCTTTTTTCCTTTTAAATCTTTGTACTGATGCCACTTTTCATGCCGCCAATATTCCAAAAAAAACGCCTCGGCATATTCTTGACCTTGACCGTTACCAAATCTTCCTTGAGTCTCGGTCCACGTAATAAGATGATCTTTCGTCAAATCAATTTCCAAATATTCGCGTATAGCACTACTGATTTGAGCTTTTGGACACCACGCACCACCGTTCTTTTCCTGCCGTATTCTACGAATATTCATATATCATTATTACGGCTGTATATAATTATTATGTACATTTCCATGTTAATCTTTGTACCTCGCATTTTGAGGACCTACGGATTTCATCTCGTAACTGGACGACGCGGTGATCGCTTCATCCGGAATTTTTCCTTCTTCCATGCCGAGTGGAAGAATACATTTTTCTAAAATTATGATTACCATTATATCTTGAATATTTCAGAATCAAAGTGTATGCAATTTATATATGTTCTTGATGATTTGTAATTATAAAATATTTCATAAAAAGTTGAATTATTTGATTTGTATTTATTTCCGTAAAAAGATGTAAATAAAATAAATATAAATATATGAATAAGTGAATAATTATGTTAATTATTCATATTCTTATTTAAAATTACTTCTTTATTATTAATAATAGTATAATTATTAGAATTATCATGCATCTCATTTGTATTGTCTACTGTAATCAATGTTTAATAATTAAATAATGAGTACAACGTATTAATTTTCAAAAATCTCAAGGATTAGGAAGAGATTAGTGAGTTTTGTGTTAAAAAACATATCATATAAGTCTCGTAAATTCGGCCTATAAGAATGCAAATTATAAAATAAATATTATCTATACGTAGGATTGAGAAAGTTACTTTTGAAAAATAACTCATTACATTATTGTTGTTAACATTATTGTTTCTCAAGTAGTGATAAGTCATAGCTAGTAAATAATAGTTTTCATTATTTTCTTTAATTTTTCAAAACCTGTTTTTTAGAACTCTCACTTGTGCCCATTCCATATATATAATTATAATATAATTACATGTGCACAAAGTAACGATAAAAGTAATGACCATATTTTATAAAAATTATTATAATTAAAAATATAACATCATTACCAATTTATAACTGAAAAAGGAAACTGTAACGGTAATGGAATTACAATTCGTGTTACTGTCCCAAACCTGTATATACGAAGGGGTTGATAAATGAAGCGATAAAAATTTCAAGAACTTACCGAGAGCATTTCCGACAGATCCTTTCGCGCACCAGCTAAACAGCATTAGGACTTTTATCAAAAGGCGTACTGTCTCCATGATATGTGATAAGCGCGGCGTGTACCGATACTCCGAGTGCATTTACAAATCATAATACAGCTCGAGGAACACTGTCATCGCGTTTTCCTCACTGGGAGACACCGGGTGGCGCGCCGTCGAAACGCGGAAGAATGCAATTCACGGAACGGCGGTGTTCACGAGGTGTGATGCAGTTTTTCGCTCTTGCACAGGGTGGGGATGTTGATACTCGGCGTAGCTTGGCCCGGCTGTTGTCTCTGCGCAACAAGTATGGAACGATCAATATGCGTTATTTCGCGGGTGGGCGAAATTCTACGCGCGAAATATTTCGCTAATGTTTTTCTTTCCCTTCTATCCTTTTCTGTCTTTTTTTCTTTTTGCCAAACGCGTCCGATCCCGCGCCGGGAAGGATTGCCGGAGACGTTGAGTCGATTTTTTTTGCACGTTCCCGTTCTGCGCAATGTTCTTACCGTTCGAGAGAAACCGCCGACGCTCCGAGGCCAGTCTCATAATTTTAAATGGAACACGTGCGTCACGTTAGTAATAAGCCTCTTTCGCTCGTCGAGTTTGGCGCTTTAACTGCTCCGCTCGACTCTCAGTTTCGCGTCTCAATTGCACGATGCAAAACGATTGCACACGGACCTCACGGTGCATCCCGGTTCCGCACATCGTCGAGACATTTTTGCTAGCAAGAGGCAATCACTGGTAATCGCGACATTATTCTCCACAGCCACTGCAATATCACCGGGAGAAAGGAACTTTAGGGGATGATACGTGATAACGCTGAGGGGTGTGACGTTCCGACAACCAATGGCGATAGCGGCGGTGCTTCACTGCGCAAAATCATAAAATTCCCAATAATCGAGATATTTTTTCACAGGCCTCGACTAAGGTTCTTCGAATGTGATTTTTTTATGTTCTATTAATGCTTTATTAATTTAATATTTGTCTATTTCATATATTAATTATTTCCATGTATAACTTTGTACAGATGTATGTATTAAATATACATAAATGTATAAATAATAAATATTTAACATATAAATGATCTTATATTTTATTGTTAAATAAAGTACTTAAATATTTATCATTTATTTATTGAAATACATAAGTTGATTATAAAATCGTAAGTATGCGTTCAAACAAAATATATTAATCCTATGATCGACTGATTATACAATCGAGTAAGGAGCGGGAAAAATTACATGATAAAAAGAGGTGTGATGTAAAGAATATACTCAAATACAT